TGAAGGCTATTAGCTTGGGTTCATGTGTTGCGGCTAGAGATTTACGGCGGAGGACGGTGAGGAGGTTCTTGGATCTGTTAGCAGGGTTGGTGTGTTGGGTATCGTGTGGTGATGGTGTCTGTGTTCCTAACACCGTTGCAAGTCAGCGCCAAGCTTCGCCTCATCCGCCGACCTCCCCGGTTCCGAGCTTGCCGCCATTGAGATCAACACAATGACCCGGGTCCCCAAACTGGAACTCGCCCACTCGCTCCGGACTCACCAAGGCGCAGACAACCGGGCTTAGCTCGACGCGTTTCAAGAGGATGACGACAAGGGAGATACCATAATTTCATTCACAAAGGACCTGATTAGAGTCGCTGGGCAAAGCCGCCGTCAAAGGTGTAGTTGTGGGGACGGACCGGACGGTGGTGATGATATCTACCTGTTTTATTGACGATGAACAATATGTATTTAGCATAAGGGCGCGTTTGGGTGTAAAGATAAAGGGTTGTATGGTCATTTAAAGAAATTTGGGTTATCACGTGACCCATCATGTTCGCCTTCACCGTCAGACGGGGTTAATTGCACCAAATTGATTAGTTTAGGGGGGTTATATGCTAAATTAGTAGATCAAGAGGGTTTTCTGTCACATAGCCAATACTTCAAGGGAGTTTTTTGTACTTTACCTTAAAAGATATGAGTGTTATTTGTCTAAAATATAAATATTATGAGTGTTTTTTCCACTTTACCCTAATTAAAATACCCTTTTTTGAATCCCAAAAAATACCAATGAATTAAAAAAAATTAACGGGGACAAAAACAAATGAAGTTTAGAATTTGTTACACCCCATTAGCTTAGTAACGAATTAATTAAGAAAAATGGTACTCCGTACAATGCCAAATATGAATTGGTATAATTGGATTTGCGCGTACATTTTTGTTTGGATTTTTGGCCCCCAATCCAATCACTTTGTTGGATTTAATAGCAACTGCAATTTTTTGAACTTTCAATCTAATGTAATATATATATATATATCAACTTATTTTAACGGCTCATATTAGATCATTGTTGACCTTTAGGCTCAAAATCACAGGGCCTAAAGTTCAGATGCCAATCCAAGTTAGTTTAGGATGACATGTCAATGGGCTCATACTTTCTAACTGGACCAGTTCAAGACTAGAGCACATGAAATGCATGAGAAATCAAAACCAAAATATATAATAAATGGGTTACCGGATATATAATAAATGGGTTACCTGAAGGAGATTCTCATTTGCAGATGTCTGGCTTTCTGTAAATCTTGGAGTGCTAAGTTTCACTCTCTATGTTTACTGATTTAACATTTCTTACTTTAAATAAAATAAATAAATAAATAAAATAAAATAAAATAAAATGTGCTAGCATGTTCAATGGTTGGATGACATATCAGTCTCTTAATCCGACAGTAGAGGGTACAAATTTACAATGAGAATGTCATAAACAAGGAAATATACATGAACAATATTTAGGTTCTCATTACTAAGCATTTACATTATATTCGCTGTTGACGTAAACCAATAATAAATAGTAATCAAATCACCATATTTGATTTGGTAAGTGGGTATTTACCTCACCATATTTGATTTAATAATTAAAGATGATCAACAGTAAGTATATTATAGATCCTCGTATTTAACAACAAACCTGTAAACTATTTGTATATTAGATGGTTGAGATCACTCTACACGAAGTGTGTACTCCATGTCAACAATACAAAGAGAATAGTGGAGATCACTCGGGTAGTATTTTTTTCATTCCTAGTTCAAATAACGTAAAATTCTTAAAAAATTATTAGATGGTATGGAGTGATTTTAGCCGATCACTAACTGACATGCAATTAGCTTGACCGCATGGTCCAGACCAACCAATAATTTCCGAAATATTGAATGCCACGCTATACCGTCCAGTGCAAAAGTTAAAACCCTAATTCCGTGTGCTATAATTGGCATGGGTCCATCAAATCACTGTGTTAACCAAATTAGTTTAGCCAAGAAAACAAGAACAAATGGAAATGGTGGACCACAGAGTGACAAATAGATCATACTCTGCACACTAGACAATTGTGGTTATGTGTGTGTGTAAATATATGACTAAACTACAGCAGCTAGCTCCATGTATTTGAGGGAATCCAGGAGGTACTGGGACTATACCCCATCCATGTGAGGACTGAGGGGGAGTCCTCCATACAGTGGGCTTCTCAAGGTGATGAAGACAGAGAGGCTGGCTTGTTAGGTCATCCTCAATTGTCACAATCTGAAAGCAATTGATAAGCAGAGACTACTAGTACCTGGTCCTCTGACATCATAAAGTTTTCTGAAGAAGAAGCCACTATCAATTGTCTTTGTCTTATCAGATGATGTTATCAGATCTACTTGGATGATGAAATCCCTCTTTATAGTGCCAAATTACGGATCTCCCCCTCCCCTACCCTCCCCATGTAGCATTATCAAAGTTGGGTGGGCTAAATTAAGCTTCAGGTGTGAGAATTCTTTTTCTTTTTTCTTTTTTTCTTTTTCTTTTTTTTTTTTAATTGTACCAAAAGCACTTCCTAAAGCATTTCCCAATTAACATTTGAATAAATAAATTCCACCCACAAAACAAAAGAAAATTCAGTCATGGAAGACTAGTTTTTGAATAATTGTTGAATGAAAATTTTTTTTTCCTTATTATTTTTAGTATGAGTATTTTTTCTTGCTTAATGACAACATAACCTTGGTCCATAATGTTTGATATAGGAGGATTAGGATGTAGGTCTTAAGTAATAATTTTTTTTTCAATCGACATTGTTATTAGGTTTCGCGCGTGTTCTAACTTCCGTTCTCATTTTGTGCAACTTAAATTCTGTTATTTTTACACTCTCTTTCTGAAATTTGCTCCCATATCTTTAATTGATCATACTTTTTACAAAGAAATTAAATAAAAGTAGAAAGCAAACAAAAAAAAAATGGTGAGGATACTAACACAAGTGAGAGAAGATAATTTTTATTATTATTAGAGTAAGATTTGAGAAAAAGCTTGATCCAAGAGAGAAAAAGAAAAGAATTTTTGTCCAATGTCCAATGGTATGATTGGGTTGATGGCAATCAGAGGTTCCCAAATAAAAAGTTCACATGAGATGTCCAACTTGACCCAACATGAGTGCCCCTTAGAATAATGACACGTCCCACTAAAATCCAACACACAATTTGCACCCATATAAAACCATATTCCCATTGAAATTTACACCAAGGACCACTATTCACACAAGATCCAATAAACACACGCACACACACAGACACCACAAAATATTTTTATTTGAAAAAAAAAAGAGGGCCTTCCACTTCCTAGTGCTTGGGGAACCATTATTTCAACTTTTTGATTGCCAACCCATTACCATGTTTTTTATATATATAAATTATTTTTTTAAAAACAACTTTTATCACTAAAGTCAATGCCAAAATAACCAACCAATAACTATTAGATGCGTGAATCCAAAAAATTAGGAGTAGTATAATTCAAGACCCTAATCTAATTGAATTTTTATTGTGGAGTTTTCTAATAAAATCATCTACACTTTGATGAATTTTCTTTTTAAAATTAAAAATAATCTATAACACGAAATCAGTTTTACTTGTAATCCACTGTGACTGCCTCTTTTCAATATCTTCATTTTCTTATTTATTGATAATTAATTGTATGACACATCTCTCTCTCTCTCTCTCTATATATATATATATATATATATATAAAGGTTACGGGTGCATTGTCTAGGGCCTATACTTATAGTTTTTGTATGTGTTCCATGGTTTGGAGTGGTCAAATCTTTAATATCTTAGCGTTCAAAGAGATTTCTTTTGGGGATTGTGATTCCAATCACTTTCAATGTTTCTCTAATCAAATAATCTTAATTTGATTGAAAGAAAAAAGTTTGATAAAGAAATCATACTTCAGCAATTGCGGCACCTTGTCTCTTTCCTAATGCCCCGTTTAGGTGCGCAATTGGCCCTCCATCCTTATTCAAATCACTACGATACACAAATGAAACGGAACTTGTCAATCACTGTTATATATATATATATATGTATGTATGTAATCTATTCACACGCACATACATATTATATATACAACCAAATATCTAAAGCACATTTTAACCAAAGTTGGTGCTATGCCCACAGTTGGTAATAATAGAACAAGGCTAATTATGTGGTATTATAACCATTTATTCCGCCAATGTCATAATATATAATTATGAAAAACGCAGTGTGCAATCGTGCTTTTCAATGTCAGTGAGTGACTCGCACGAACTAAGCTGTGCCATTCATGCTACTGCTATTCATCATTTCTCTCATTATCTTTAAATTCCAAAATATTTTACTTTTCAATGAAGTACCTCATCACTGAATATATACATTACATATATATATATGTGTGTGTGTCTGTCATTTTATGGATATCTTTCTTATTCTGTTGACTTTGAACTTGAATTTCCACAATTTAACAATCAAATTAAATGCATAACATTACTTGAAATGGTTGAATTGAATCAGAAGAATTGAAGGAAAAAATTTCCTTTGTAATACTCCAATAAATAAAAACTCCTCATTTCCCTGGATAAAAAGAAATAATTTTTTTTTTAATTTTTATTAAGGCACATAAAACGGAAACAATAACAAAATTTGAGAGCCTGAACGCGCGAGAGTGACAAAATTAATTCATAAATAGTAAAAATTTAAGTTAGAATACGCGCAGAACAAAAAAACACTCGAAACGTGAGAGTAAGAAAGATTATGTAATGTACTTCTGTACTATAGTCTCGATACCAATATTTTCTTGGCATTGTAGATGTGGATTTTTTTTTAGGATATATATATATAATTAATAGCACATTTTGAGTCTTTGTTTTGGACTAAAAAATATTGGGTATAGTAATTTGTAGAAAATAAATAATACAGAGTATAGTAATTTGTAGCATTTGTATAACATTAAAATTTGGTACACGATATAAAGAAAATCAAATGAATTTCTCTCTTATATCTGTTGAAAAAATTGGTGATACAATTTACAGTGATCATCAGAAAGGCATAATATGAGTTGTCTTGGTATCATAACTTGATGAGACACAACACTTGGAGTTCACCCTAAACATCTTCAACAAATCTCCGGCCAAATGCCGGACCGCCGGCGAGCACTCACTCTGCATCAGCAACAGTATCTTCGTCGGGCCACCGCTCTTCGCCACCGCCTCCAACGCCTTCCGATCGCGAAACAGGCAACACAAACCCCACAGTATCGTCACCGCGTGCTCCGTCGCACCACTCGACACCTTCAACACCTTCTTCGCAATAGCCGGAACGCACGTCTCGTCCTCGCACATCTCCGCTCTCCCTTCTCTACTCGACGACAAAATTTCAAGAATCTTCAGAATCTTTTCGATGGCCGAAACGCTCAGGTTCGATTCCGATAACAATTTTCCGAATCTCTTCACAGCTCCGAGCCGGACGATTCTGATTCTGATCCGTTTCGGCGAAGATACACAGATCAAGGTAGACAAACCGGCGTCGATAGCTTCCGGATCTGACTCGGAACTCGCTAGAGTGATTAATTCCGAGAGAACATCGTTGTGTTCGGCGATGTATAACTTGGAATCTGCGTCGGTCGAAATGGCCTCCAAAACCCTAGCCGTCGCAATTCTCGAGCTCAGGCTTCCTCTTTGCAGTAAAACCAGCATTGAACTCATACAGTCTTTACTAATCATCAACTTCGTTAATTTTTCTCTATCTTTGTATTTGTCTATGATAATGTCAAGAATTCTAACTGCTTCTTCAGCGAACTTGACGTGTTTAGGCACACTGCCGCAGAGAATTTCGATGAGGAGGTGCACGAAGCCGTCGTTCGCCGCCAGAAAGCGGCGGTTCTCGTCGGAGACGGCGGCGAAGGAGGTGAGTTTGGATATATATTCATTTTGGTTCTGATGGTTGTGTATTTGTTTGATGAGATCTCGAGCTTGGTCTTGGGTGAGTGAAGGGAGCGAGTCTGACTCGGACCTGGTCGGAATCGAGTTGGACCAGATCTGAATGAGACGTTGGAGGGTGTGGTTAGGGACGAAGTCGGTGGTTTTGAGAACCTGCATCGTGGCCGGACACGTGTTGTTGCCGCCGTCGAGCCACCGTTGGATGCTCGACCGGTCGTATGTGACACCGGTACAGAGACTCACCGGGGATTTCATCACGTCGAGAGAAATCGGGCACCTGAAGAAGCTCGGGACAGTGATGTACAGGTCATCTCTCAACATTTTTAGAGAGAGAGATTGCGGACGGAGCGATATAGAGAGAGAAAGAGAATAGTTTTAGAGAGAGAGAGAGAGAGAGTGAGGGTTGAAGCTGAAGGTGGAGGTGGGATGGGACAGCGAGAGGATGGTTTATGGAGAGGAGAGGGAGAGTCAAAGGGGATCGGTGATGTCAGCAAAGGAGACACATTTGTGAAATTTTTTTATTCTTTTCAGTTTGGTCTTTGGTCAATGAGTTTGCAAAAATATTCGGTGGACACAACTGGTAACTGGACCACCACTTGTCTTTAGTTTTAGTCCTTTCACTTTTTAATATTTTATATTGCTACTATATTTGTAAAAACATTTTAACAAAAGTCCCTAAAATAAGAAAATGGCTTGCGAGAAGTCATAGTACAGAGCATATATAACCCTATATAGTACAGAGCATATATAACCCTCTATATATTGTCAAAACACCCCTATAGAGTATAGTATAGAGCATATATAACCCCCTAAAATAGTAAAATGGCATGGTAGTTTCAATTATCAAAAAGAACTTGTTGTCAGTGGAGGGATGAAAAGATTAAACGGCCCTTATGTAATTGAAAAAAAAAAAAAAGTAAAAAATTAACGAAGGATCATTGTGGGAAGTGATTTTACAGTGACTTCCCAAAAGTCATTTTCCTATCTATTATAGACATTAAGTCCTTTTTTGTTATATTTTTTCGAGTTTAATGTTTTTATATATACAAAATAAACTATAGATAAGGGTGTTATTAGAACAAAATAAAAACTTTTAAGGGTATTTTTTATGCTTTACAAAATAAAAAATCATGTATAGTTATAGTTGCATCATGCAAAAAATTCAAATACGTTCCTCAAGGCATATATGTGTCATATGAAAACATCATTGAATACTGTAATTGACTAGACCATATTGCACATTAAGTATGAATTTCTAATTATTCTAAAAAATTCAAATACGTTGGGCTTAGGGTTTTAAATATATTTGAGCTTAGTGGAGTGCACAAGATAATGACAATAATAAAGACAAAATAAGTCCGGAAATCTTTGAGAGGTAATAATTTTTTTAGAATTTTTAATATATATGAGTTTAAATCCTTTGGGCATCAGCAAGAAACACTCCAAGTCTGCTGATCATAGTCATAATTTAGGTGTAAAATAGGCAATTATAAATTGGAAAAAAAAAAAGAATAACAATTATATTCATCCCATCATAGGTGGCCAAACAAATTTCTTTCTCTCTAGCAAGAAATAAAATTTGATAATAAAACAACTTGAGTTTCTGAGTGATGAACTAAAGGAGGAACGTTTATTATAGAATAGAGATGAATTGTATTGCAAATATATAATTGGTCTGTGTTTACTTAAACTTTTAGAAAATAAAAAATAAAAAATATTTTATAATAATAATAATACTAGTGAAAGCAACTTTTTGGAGAAAAGAAAAAGAAAAAAGGGTCATTAATGTGTGAAGTGTGTTCTACTGTGTGCAACTTCTGTTGTGGTGGAAGATGCACTTCAAAAAGGAGGTGGTGATCATATGGAGGCCAAGCAGAAATGCGAAGTTGCTGTAAGGTGTGTGGGTCCGGTGAGGGTTCAAATGGGTGATCGATCAGTCGATTACATCATTTGATACCAAGACAAACCACCACTGATTTGATTTATCATTTTTTAATTTATTTTTCTTCTTCTCATCCCTTCCTTCTTACAAAACTTTTGGCCTTTATTAGTTGAAAACATCATATATTCTCTTTTTTTTTTTTAAAAGTAGTGCTTGCTTTTGATGATCTAAAGATTCTAAATGACACAAATGTGCTCCCAAAGTCTCTCTGTAAACGGATGATTAGTCATTCACACACTTGGTTGTTGATATGTCATATTTTAACGTACAGTGTGTTACCAACATTCACTACTTCAATTTTCTTTTCAGATGGATCCACACAGTAAAATCCACGTAGGAGCAATCTTATCCCTGTTCAGATCATAATATCTCTACTATCCAAACAGTATTATTATGAACAATCATCCTCACCCTAATCAGCCCAACCACATGAGATTTTATTGAGTAATACTGTTCAGATTTCGTAAATTGACTAAATCACAGGAACACGCATGTGCAATTTATTTAATGGTTGTGATTTAGTTAGTTTGAAAAATCGAAATGCAAATTCATTTAAAATATATTTTAGATTCGAAATCCAAAATAATATTTTTGGAACAAAGGTAAGATATATGTGTCTTTTCTAATTGTGCATTAGTATTAAAAGGCCTTTGAAATTGGTCCTAGTCCAACTTCCTCAATCCAAATCCAACCAATTTCAATTTTTTTGTGCTTAAATTTTTAAAAAAAATGTCAGGCTAAAAATCAATTAGATATTTGGTTAGTCTGGTTAAGTTATAAAAAAAAATTCTAAAAAATGAATGCAATTATGGATATGCATATAAAAAAGTCAGGCTAAAAATCTATTAATATTTTGCTTATCCATTATGAATATGTATATATATACATACATATTGAGTGTTTACATTGATATAACGAAAAGGCGCCGAAAATATGAATTGCATGTAAAATTGATGTTTAGGTACCTTGACATTGTCACGCAACAAGTTTTCAAGGACAGGGACCTAACTAGGCTAACTGCAGTTGACTTTACCAAATCCCACCCTCACCAATCCATCACACGCATTGTGTGTGTGTGAGAGAGAGAGAGAGAGAGTTCAATTCAACAAAAAGTGTAATGCAGTAGATTAGAGGCAACAACTCTGAATTGAAGACTAAGAAATTAGAAATTGTTATACCACTTTTGTGGGTGGTTGGGTGTGGGGATGATGAAAGAGAATTTATTAATAAATTAGATTTTTTTGCAAAAAAAAAATAAATATAAATAAATTAGATTCTAACCATGTAAATAATTTAATAATGCACAATACGAACTTTACTTAATTTCATTTTATCACATGATCTATTTCAGGTAACAAAAATGAATTTATGTCACCGAAGTAAGAGTTATTAGTTAAAAGTGGGATACAAATTAAAATAGGGGAAGGAAAAAAAAAAAAAAGGTATGAAACCTACTAGTGATAAGATTAGGTGGTAGGGACACACATACAAAATATTTATAAGTGCATCGGCAATACGAAAAAAAAGTTAATTTGCGTAAAGGGTAGGAGGCGCAGAAAGCATTTGAAATTAATATGAGATGAAATCATTATAAATGATTTTAAAAACCTAAATATCATAGGAGATGTGGCTTGTATAGAATAGAATGAAAAACAGGATTTATGTAATCAATTCTATTCATAAGAATTAAAGTAAGAATAATTATAATTACATGATCTATATGGAGGAGAAAGAAAACCTCATCGAATTAATGTAATGATGCACCATATAATTCTATTTAATTTCATTTTATTACACGATCTATGTATGAAGGGAAAAGAGAACATAAATTTATATTCATAATGACAATAATGTAATGATGCACAAAACAAACTCCACTTAATATCATTTTATTATATGATCCATACGATGCGAAGGGGAAAGAGAACCTATTGGAAAATTATACTCATAATGAAAAGAATGTAATGATGCACTATACAAATTATTCCACTTAATATTATTTTATTACGTGATCTATACGAAGGGAAAGAGAATCTATTCGAAAACTGTATTTATTATGGAAATAATTTATGTGAGGGAAAAAATAACCTATTGAAAAATTAATTTTCATCATGAAAACAATGTAATGATGCACCATTAAAACTCCACTTAATTTCATTTTATTACATGATCTATATGAACTGGAAAGAGAACCTATTGAACATTATATTCATCATGAAAATACTGTAATGATACATAATAGAAACTCCACTTAATTTCAAATAAACTCTTGTTGTATATTTGTGATTTTTTAAAATTTAAGTTCTTGCGGGCCGGGTCTATTGGGCCATAATTGGGCCTTGTAAGCCCGCACTAACGAATTCCGTAGCAAGCCTAACTGAGTTTACATTAACCACTCAAATTTAAGAATGGTTGAGCATGGCTACAAAAATAGCATTCTTGGTGTTGTAGATGAAAAAAATTCTGTGTCATCTTTTATTAGAAAAAGTGGTCTACTTGGACAATGGACAAGACCATGCACAATGAGGCTCTCTCTCCCCTATCCCCATAATTGTGGGGTCCTTGGACTATCAGACCTGACCATTACCCTTGAACATTAATGAGCCCCTCACCTTGAGCAACAGTATACGAGATTTTTGGTCGTTGAATGTCACGATGAAATTCATTTGACAAATAATTTAACGATTAAGAAATTTTAAGATATTGTAAATTTTTTTCTTCTTTACTTATTTTTAAAATAAATAAATTTTTTAAAAAATTTAACTTTTTTAGAGAATAAATTTTAATATTTTCTTATTATATTAGTAGTGAATGAATTACAAAATTTATCTATCGTGACTTTGCAGAGATGTAATGATTTACTTTTTATACGTTAATATAAGAAGGTTAAATCGGTAATATTATAAAAAAATAGAGTAATATTTTGAATTTTGAAATGAGACAACAAAAGATAAAATTGAACATTTATTTTAGGACTCAAGGAGTAATATTTTTATATTATAATAATATATTTTATTGTATTTTATACAAGGTGGAACAAATTTATAATTTTATAAATTTTGAGCAACCGATTCGTAAAAAAAAAAAAATAATAATAATAATAAATAAATAAATCGCCTAATTCTACGAAAAAGATAGGGCAATTTATCCCTCTATATATATATATATCTATATATAGACACACGCACATAAACATGTATACAATGTATAGGACAATCCATCATTAATTCCTGCACGAAGGAACAGTAAGTGAACAAATCTCGTCCTTTTGTTTTACATAGTCAGTATCCGTACTATACTGAATCATCATCCCCATCACCTTCCACAGTGTCAGTATAGCTGCTACTATCTTCTTTTCACAAGAGAGAGAAACATGGAGAGACATGTATACAAGCAAAATCAAAATATAGGGTAGGTCATGCGATTGGTCATAAGAAAAGGTAACCTCTTTTTTTAATTTTAATTCTAATAGATAACACTTACACTTTATCCAAACACTGCAGAGTTATAAAAATTTAACAGAAACTCTGCGTGTAGACAATTTTTAAGA